TTTGAACAAATATGAGAGAATCATGCTTACTAATAATTTTAATCGAGGTAATCCTGAGTTTTCTAGATAACATTTTTCTGATACACTTCGATTTGTATTTACCTAATGTCAGCAAATTCATATCGCGGTCCCTCAGGTGAAATTTCATTCGTTGCGCCGCAAACTGTCTTAAATCTGTTTTCTAAAACGGGATCTAAATCAGGACTGGGACAGAAAGATTCGAGGACCAAGGCAAGTTTGGCAGTTTCTATCCAGCCAGTGTCTTGAGAGTGACTCGCTGAGGTTAACGCCGTGGAAGGGAAAAGTCCGAACGAGGCTCTCCTCCATCGGGAAACTCGAGCGGAAGCTAATCTCGATCGACGTCCGACTGTTTGCGAAAACCGGAACTTACGGTGGAACTTTGTGCAACGCCTACCCAAGGCGGGGGAGTAATTAACAGGGCAAAGGGTCCGAGCTTGTTATTATTGTTACATCGGTTAACCGAGCAATTATCCGACGTATACCGTACTAATAACTGTTACATTGTTGCCAGCTGCTAACTACCGCTGCGCGGTTTATTCACACAACCGCCATTCCGATCCTTCGCGGCTCTACAGTACAAACCTTGAATCGTATATTACGCCAGCTAATATCGGCGCGAGTTACTCGGGATACGCGTGACGCTCGATCGCTGTCACGTATCCAGCAAACACGCGTCGCGTTCTAGAAATTTATCGGCGAAACGTCGCGTCAAGATTACACGATCGTAACGAGCATACCGGTGACGATCGTATACAGGTGACAACTATTATTATTTCAACGATTATTATTATGTTCGGCAGTGGATTGCTGGGAATTTGCGCTTGTCCTGGAAGCCATTCAAAAGTCTCGGAACACTCTCCAATTTTTGATATATTTCTCGATTTTAATAAACTTGCTTTCTATGAAGAAATTTTGCTTTGTCTGTTAAGGTATTTTTAAATTTTTATGCACGCGATGAACTCTGTATATTATGTACGTTCAAGTATTCTGCATTTATATATATATAATAAAAAATGATAGAATTATAATTTAGCCTTCTCTTTAACTATTAAGAATTATAATTTAGCCTTCCCTTTAAATATTAGAATAATTTCAGAAATGTTCGACAATAGAAAAATTTGATATCTGCTCCGAGGTAGAAAAGAAATATATTACCAAGTCAAAAATCTGAGAAGAAGAATTATCGTGCAACAATAAAATTGAATACACGTTAATGCAGAAATACAATGATGATATTCGCAAATATAATAATACAGGAGTAACCAGAAAAGTTACAAAAAATCACGATAACTAAAAAAAAGTAAAAATATTGAATAGAAGAGAAATTCTAATATAAAAATTTGCCTCGCGGCACGAAGAAAGAGAAATCGATCGAGCCAAATCTGACTCCACCACCGCTACACGTGCGAATATAAAACATCGCATTGTTCGATGATTAATTTTGGCGAACCATTGGCGATATTATTGCACAGCGTTGAATTTTTAAAATATCCGAACAGCGAGATATTCAAGTAAGCAACAAATTACGAGACAGAGAGAGAGAGAGAGAGAGAGAGAGTTAATAAATATTTTTTTTTCTCTACTTGTTTTGATTTTCCTTTTCGACATAGCGTGACTAAAACTGCCCCCGTATTTAATAAATCTCGAAAGATATCTGTCGACGATTAAAACGCAAAAATCCCTATTAAAGTTGTAAAAATGCAGAAAATAGGAAAATGTTTCTAATAATACAAGATTTTATTTGTATGTGTATTTTAGGAAAAATCCATTTAAATCTCTGAAAATGCACCGTGGCTCGTAGCTCTATAAAACTTATCTCACCAGATTGCCAAATTCACCTGTCAGGATTCAAGAGAATTCGATCTGTCATTGTTGAGCACATTAACGACCAAACAATAGTTCAAATCACGATATTAAAAGTATCTCAATGTCTTTCAATTTCATACAATTGCAAGCCGATAGAAATAGTGACAAAACCAAAATGTTGATCGAGTTTCCCGATCGAATTTCGAGATATTAGAAAAACAGATTCGACAGTGCGAAACGATTGAAAAAAAAATGCACGTGAAATGACGAGTTTACGAAACACATATCTTCAGTAAGTTTAGAAAAATATTACCTTCTTCGAAAAAAAAGTTTTATTTCATGCTGTTCAATTGAACACTTTGCAAATGTGATATTGATCATTCCCCTGTTAGAAGGACGTAATCCACCCCCCGAAAAATCCATTCTGGAGAAAGATACATTCGATCTCTTCTCTGTTCCGTACTTTTCGTTCGTGGTTCGACAGTTTCTCGCCTTTTAAAGTGAAAACACGCTGGCGAGAGGGGCGTTAAGAACCCGTCCCGTTAAAAGGAGCGAAATACGAGACCTTGTAGCGGGGAAATGCGTCACCTCGTTTGCAACTCGAAAATGTAAAATACTGAACTCCAACTGAAACTCACTGTTCTCTCGCGGCGCCATCTGCGATTTTTTTCTTCTTCTTTTCTCCTCTCTTTGCCCCTTCCACCCCGAAGGATTTACATTTCTTTTATAGGTACTCTGACGTTTCTCACTATGCCAGTTTCATTGCACTAGCGGTTCGCTTTTATCGACTTCGTTCCAAACGCCTACCAATATACCTCTCTGTATCTTTCCTTCTCCTTTTTCTTCTTTTCTTTTTTTTTTACGATAATGCACGCGCCTATGCTGCAAATGACACTCTGCGTTTTCATAATCGAAAGAAGAACACGATTACTTATGGATTACTTACGCGTATTCTCAGTGACAGAGAATTAACGCCGACGCTGACGAAAACGAAAATCAGGTGCTTTGCAATTTTTTTTTTCAACTGATTCCCTCGCACGCGAGAAATTTCACGTTAGTCGTATTCAACCCGATGATTCATTACGTATTTCTATCGCAATAAATTGTTCAACACGCGTGTAACGTAGACGTGATAAATTAAATTGATTAATTTTAATTCGGTTCGATTCAATTTTAATTGGTTTATATATATGTATGTACACACACATATGCGTATTAATTTAAGAAACTCTTTGAATCGATCGCTTTAAAGTATCGCCGATGGTAAGCACGTTTGCGAACGTCACGCAATTATGTTCTGATAAACGGTGTACTGTTAATAGGAACGTAATCGAGTCAAGATACCATGGAGTAAACTAACAGCGTACAGGCACGATAATTATTACAGTAGGTAACTGAATATTATCTTGAAAGATTTTTCCATTTGAAAAGCGATACTATATTAAATATGGTGCAACGATGTTGAAATTAAATGTTTGTCCAATTGAAGGCAGTTATTCTTGAATTATTTGATAATTTTGCTGATGATTGATTAATTTCTCAGAGAAATCTCGGTAAGTAAATAATTTTATGTTACACGCGAGCTTGGTGGCCAGGTCAGATTTGACTCGATAGTTATACTTCTTTTTTTTTTACGTAAGATTCTCGAAAGATTTCCTTGCCTCGTTAAATATTTCAACTCTTCAAGTTACGTGGTAATTGAAGAAAAATATTTTCACCAACATGTATTTATTTATAATTGTACAATCAGTCTTCTCCTAATGAGAATAGCACATTCCTTTTTCTAACTAGGAGATCAATTTCGATATTAAACGTTTCTTTCATTGAATATTTTCGTAATTCGTACATTTGAAAACGTTGTTATCATATTTTTACGAATTTTTTCTCAGATTATAAACGAGAGCTACGATTCCTGAAAGATGATTGTAGATATTTATGCAAATTACTAATCTATGATGCTTGGTTTTACTTTACACTTCACATTCTCCGTGACAGAATTGAATTGAATTAAAAGTTTCAAAAATTACATAATTTAACCTTAAATTATTATAGTCTAACAACTATTGATAAAAAATTTAGATTGTTTATCTGCTCGTAATTTAACACTGGTCTCTCGATCGATAAGTCGGTGAAACGTTTTCTGTTATTTCATCGGAACCGGAGCTCCACTTTGTGACGTAGTTTCACAATGTTTCACAATGTTTCATGTAGGCGGAGAAAGGTCAAAAATGAGGTGAGAAGTTAGAAATAACCGATCTTGCGACATAGTTTCACGAGTTCTCATCTGTAGGCGGTTAAAGGGTTAAAGTTAAGAATCAACGATCAAGAACCAAGGACGCAAGTCGTGTCACCAGCCGGAGGAAGTTAGAAATAACCTATCAGACCCGCGTCCCCTTGGACTTTTCGTCCTTAGAGTAACTATAGCTTCACGACGCCGCTGTGAGACACAACTTGAAATGGCAAATGGCATGGAAATAATCCACGGAATTTTACAACGCGGAACGAACAGATGTTATATATATCTCGCATAAAATTTACTGTCAGCCTCAACATGTACCAACATCATACAGACAGCCTCAAACTGTTGCCTGCATCTTGCTCATAAACTAAGGAAAATTAAAGCTACTTCGAGAAAACTAGGAACGAAACATCGACAGTCGGTAGACGCGCGGCCATTTATTCAAATTTATGCCTCTGTAAATAAAATCTAGATGGAATAAACATGTTCCCCTCCATTGATTATTATACAGAGTGTCGTATATACTTTTATGTTGCACTCTGTGTATAGTTTTGCACCCTCGAATTTCTCACGAATGCGTGAGAATTTCGCAGTCTAACAATCAGACACAGAGACACTCCGTGTCGTGGAGCAGCACGTTGCTAGGCTGGGATCGCTCGCAATCGAGAGCGATTTCATTCCGTATGAAAAGGGCCGTCGGTGGTTGGCCGGGATCGATCCAAGGGAACGACGACTCATGTAAAATTAAAGAGGACACGTCATAAGGGGTTGCGCGAGGGCTGGCACCGCGTCATCGGGCCCCGGTGCCGCGTAATCGAGGGAGTGACTCGACGCAGGGAAATCCGGAACGGAATTGACCCGGTGAATCCAGCCGATGGCCATCTGGCTGACCAGCAACGACGATCGGCGATGAATCGAATCACGTGACAATTACCTGGCGCCAATCAGGATGGAAGTGGTCGCGCGCTCCAGGAGCTTGAAGTGCTCCACGTGGCTCTCGTTTCCCAGGAACCTTTGGCCAATCACCTCGCCTACAAACAGAACAGAAACGGACTTTCGTGAGAAAAATTGTTTGCAATCTTTCATTCGATATTCTGAAACCTCCGACTGCGAATTTCTCGACTCGAAAGGCACTGTCAAAGTTTCAGTCGAGCTTCAATCGAGTGAAAACAAGTTAATAACGAAAATGAAAAATAGAATAGTTGAAATATCCGCCTATTACGTTTACACAAACGTGCTTCGAATGTCTATTTTATCGTCAGTTCTTTCGGTCGATGTTTATCTTTAAGGAATATCAGAAATTTGAACAAATTTTAAGAATATCAATATATATATATACATGCTTTCTCGCGATCGGTTAAATTTTACGTTAAACATGATAATTGTCGAAACATTATAAATTCCTTTTGCTTTCTAAAAAAAAAAAGGAGAGTAGGAAAATTGAAATACAAAAATTCGACAGGGGTCGAAAAGAACTAACTCCAAATCGAGATCACAAATCGGCGTACATTATTGACCTTAATAACGAGGTTGCGAGCAGGTCAAAAAGTGACCTCGTCGATCGGGAATCAATTAGAGTATAACGTCGAGCACGGCCACAAAGAGTTGAGCATACAGAAATGATCACAGCGCGAAGTTAAACAGAACGTTGAATCAGTTACGTGCCATCGAATCCAGTTCGATGATTATAACCAGTTCACAGGAGGTTTCACGCTGTCCATTTCACGAATTTCGCGGGTAGTTTGCTCGAAATCTAAAACCGACTCCTCGTCAAACGCGCCTCGATTCACCGGTAATAGGCCAACGATAAATCATCCGCTGGACGATTACGTTTTGGGGAAGTGCGAGTCTGTAGAACGATAGCGATAGCGATAGCGATAAGAGAACTAAATGACTAACACCATGGCGGACCACAGACGAGTAGTTAGATGGGATCTGAATTCTGTTTCAAAGTTTTATTATACGTCCGATGACAAATTCGAATTACTTATTTCGAACATAATTCGAAGCTTAACTCTTTGGGTATTTAAAAAAATTTTTTTTCATTTTTAGAATATTAAAATATAACAAATTAAGAATGCATTTGTCTATAAACATATAAATAATTCATTGACGATATCTGCATAATACGTTGCTATTATACAAACTATTCAATTCAAACAAGTTCAAACTCGTCAGTCAAACATCTTAAAAGTCTTAAAATCATCTTCGTCTTCGAATCATCAGGTCTTTGATGCTCTTGAATATCATCGATATTTTCAAAATACGTTGCTAATATACAAACTATTTAATTCAAACGGGTTCAAACTCGTCAAACACCTTAAAAATCTTAAAATCATCATCGTCCCCAGACCGTCAAGTTTTCGATGCTCTTGAATATCATTTTAAATATCATCAACATCTCTATAATACGTCTCTATAATACGTTGCTATTATACAAAGTATTTAATTCAAACAGATTCAAACTCGTCAGTCAAACATCTTAAAAGTCTTAAAATCATCTTCGTCTTCGAATCATCAGGTCTTTGATGCTCTTGAATATCATCGATATTTTCAAAATACGTTGCTAATATACAAACTATTTAATTCAAACGGGTTCAAACTCGTCAAACACCTTAAAAATCTTAAAATCATCATCGTCCCCAGACCGTCAAGTTTTCGATGCTCTTGAATATCATTTTAAATATCATCAACATCTCTATAATACGTCTCTATAATACGTTGCTATTATACAAAGTATTTAATTCAAACAGATTCAAACTCGTCAGTCAAACATCTTAAAAGTCTTAAAATCATCTTCGTCTTCGAATCATCAGGTCTTTGATGCTCTTGAATATCATCGATATTTTCAAAATACGTTGCTAATATACAAACTATTTAATTCAAACGGATTCAAACTCGTCAAACACCTTAAAAATCTTAAAATCATCATCGTCCCCAGACCATCAAGTTTTCGATGCTCTTAAATATCATTTTAAATATCATCAACATCTCTTTAATACGTCTATGATACAAATATTATACAAAGCTATTATACAAAGTATTTAATTCAAACAGATTCAAACTCGTCAGTCAAACACCTTATAAATCTTAAAATCATCTTCGTCCCCAAATCATCAGGTCTTGAATATCATCTTAAATACCATCTATATTTTCATATTCATGTTGCTATTATATTTACAAACTATTTAATTCAAACAGGTTCGAACTCGTCAGTCAAACACCTCGAAAGCCTCAAAATCATCGAGTCTTCGATGCTCTCGAATATATTTCTGAACTTTCAAGAACTACAAGTTTCGAATCGTCCGAGCCAGTAATCTCGAATTTTCCTCTCGGAAGCGATTCGAAGTGTCTCGGAACAAGCTCTCGCGTCTCGATTCGTCTCGCCATCGCGAGAGAATGGTCCCATCAAACAATTATTTCGTTCCATACAGTCCCGTTCAACATGCACACGTTCGTGTGAAAAAAAATTACACGCGAGCGTCAGATCTCCAGGAAAATCTCCATTGTCGAAGCTTCTCCAGCAGTTTCAACGCGTCGTCACGATGACAAACTGAAGAATCGGCAGTGTAGAGGCACACTGATTCTGGACGCAGGTTTGGTGAAAGCCTAGGAATCGATGCACGCGTGTTTCAACGTGTGTATGCGTGCGTGTCTATGTGTGAGTATGTGTGTGTGTAGACCTTTAAGGTTCCCGGTGATCGCGCCGCGCGTTTCACCGCGTTATAAAACGCCTGGTCATCGAGTGCTCGCGTGCACTCGCGCTTCCTACGTCCATGAATGGATTTTGCCCGTATATGCGGCCGAGCGCGCGCCCACGCGGCTAGATTTATGCGCCAGATATAGACACGTGGGTGTATCGGCGGCGATGCAGCGCGTCTCAATGAAGGAAGAGCTTGTTACTCGTTACTTCGCCTTACTCGCGCGAGCGATAGGAAACCGCAGGAGGCACGGGGAGGTTACGAACGGGACGAGCGAGATGGGATCCGGGAACATTTGTATATACGTACGTATATGTACATATATATATATATATATATATATATATATATATATATATATATATATATATATACATATATATAATATATATATATATATATATATATATATACAATATGCGCGGCAGAAGATTCGAGCGGCCCAGCGAACGTGATCCCGACGTGATCAAGATTCTCGAAAGTCTCGGTTCCAAAGTTTTGATTAGTTTCCAGCCTCCACGAGTGAATATCAAGTATTTTACGAATCATTTGAATGTTTTATTCCGCGGCGAGCCACGGCGTGTCGTTGACGTAATATATTAAAGGGAATTTGGAAAGTTCTTATCGTTGATCCCCTTTTGCGTTTCGTCTGTCGCTGTCGAGTGTTTGTATAAGATAATCCGCGGCGCTTAAAATATAATTGGTTTGCAAGCACGAAGAGGACGATACGTTGCAACGCGAACTATATTTCATAAATATATTAAAAGGTATATGTATCGTTGATTCCTCGATTAGGTTTCTTTCGTAATTTTAAACGTTCAAAGGATTTTATACATTTTATATTGTTTTTTAAGATGTAAGTTTTATATTTTATATTGTCTCATGCATAAAGTTTTATATATTGTTTTTATTGTAAGATTTACGGTGAACGCGTTACAAAAGAAATATATAAAATAGGTAGCATATTGCACATTGTATTAAATATTAAAACTCTATAATTTGATAACAAAATCGTGTATCAAAGTATCTTTTAATATATCTCTCTTTTCTTGTTAATAATTATTTACTTCCTAGATAAACTATTCCCTCCGCGTTTAAAAAATGGAAAATATTCTCAAAATACTGAATATTCATCCGTCAAGACTTCCAATATTCACTTTTCAAGAATTTTCAAACATCGAATCCTAGCGATTTGAATTTTGAAACTTCGAAATCAAGATTCCAACACTTTTACGCGTGATATATATATATATATATATTTTTTTTTTTCTTCTTGATAAGAAGAAAGACTCGAAGGAAGAAGCTGAAAGGAAGGAAGAAGAATAGCAGGACGAAGAAATGAATAAAGAGCTCCGCGACGATCGCGCGGCTTAGAAAATGAATTATAAGGGGGAGGGGACGAAAGCAACGTCCTGACCAAACAGAGAGAGGACGAGGCTCGAGCAAGAGGATAGGAAGCGTAGGAGGACTAGCCGGAGGAGAGATAAATGCAGGTAGGAGTTTCCCCGTGGTGGGGAAAAAAAAAAAAAGAAAATGCGAGAAAAAGATTCGAAGGAGGAAGGAAAAGGGCGAGTGAAAGAAGAAGAAGAAGAAGAAGAAGAAGAAGAAGAAAGAAGACGCGCGAGAGAATGGCGGAGAGTGGTGTCTCTCACAGGCCTTGGCCGACGATAAAGCGGTGCGCGCCTACTTTGTGGCAGCGCCCTCCCCTCGATTCTCAACCCTTCTCGTGCTGGTAAAGCTTTCTCGCTCAGCACGACTGCCGCTATACATACTAGGCTACTTCTTGCAACGTTTTACGACTCGCCCTCCAACGCGTTCGATGTTTCGGCCTCTTCAGCCTATGGTTCCCTATGGTTGTGCCCGTATCTGGCGCTCTCCTCTCCTCTTTTACGCTGCGTTCACACTCGCGAACACTCGCAGCAGTTTCAGGAATCGAGTGAAAACGTCACATTCGTCACGCGTCGAGACTTGTCAAACATTTAGAAAGATACTATATGTAAGTTTAGTCTAACTATGTGAGAAAGTTCAACTATACAAGTTACTCGGTAAGAGAAAGGAAATGCCATGTTTGGGAATAATTTCGTTTAATTTCGCATCCGTAGATATTAGTTAAGTAACACGCGTGCATCTCTTCGTTTCTCAATACAGTTTTTACTGTTCCATCAGTCGATTTCGTTGAATGTTCAAAATGGCGTGCTGTTTCGACAGTAAAATTTCCATTTCCAACTGTGAGGTTGGGGTATGTTTTGCCTGACTTCGAGTTCCTCTCACAACATCTCAACATCTCAAGTGGATGAAGATCAGGCGACTGGGGCGACCAATTCGTGTTT